TAGAATATGATAATGCACATTGTAACAGAATAGAACAATCACCAAATTTTTTTTGAAATTAAAAAATAAAAGTAAAAAGGATAAAGTAATCTAACCAAAAAAGATATTTAAAAGAATTTTGGAAAAAACAGAATAAGGATAATGATATTATTTTAGATACACAATCGATGTACTGAAGAATAATCCGGTAAAATGATGATATAAAATTAGATTATTTTACAAGTAGCTAAAAGAATAAAACTATAATATAAAATAAATGAAGTTTAATGAAACAATAAAGGTTAAATAAATAATAAAGATTTTTATTTTATATCAGTATTGAGAAGAAGTAACAGCTGACACTTGGTAGACAACTTCTTTATGTCTAGAAAATTCTATCTTGCCTTTTATTTTTTTCTCGCTGTGAAACGTATTCGGTCTTTTTTTTAAAAATTAATTTTTTGTTAGAGATAAGAGCTAAAACTCGGTAAACAACTTCTTTATGTCTAGAAAATTTAACATTCGTCTCCCATTTTTATATATTTGGTTTAGAATGTTCGAAAATGCGTAATATGGTCATTAATATTAATTGAAAAGAACCTTGAATTAATTCAATCTGATCTCACAAAATATTTTAAATTACAAACTTTGTAGTTTGAATAGATAATTAGTATTAAACTCAAATAACTAGTTTATTTTTGAATAAAAATTATTTGAATTTATTCAATTTTGTGAATTTTCCTTCAAAAATCAAGTTTAAATATCTTATTTGCCATATAATTATAAATACAATGAAACATATTCGAAATTGAAAAGAATGACGTTTTCTGTTCTTTCAATCATTCAATTTGAATTTTGCAATATTGGATTTCTCATTAAATAGATATTAAAAACAACAAGCAATTTAACTTACATTCAAATTTATTTGTGTTATATTCAATCTTCTCAAAACTTATAATTTTCGGCTATAGCACGATTATATGCTATATAATATAATAAACCTATAATAGTATCATTCTTTCAATTATTTGAAGAGAAAACCGAAAAAATCTATTTTCGGTCTATAACAATTCTCAAAAGTTATATCAAAAGTCTGTTTTTTCTAAAATCTAATGTCATAATCTATTTCTCATTTTAAGTACATCTTAATTCATTTTATTTTCTATATTTTTTCAATATTTTTGAGGGAATTGTGTTGCTTCCCCGACGATAAAATTGAGAGGTTTACACATTGACACTACTTAGCATGCAACATCATTTCGGGAAATTGAAGTTAAATATCAAAGAGATGGTCTATGCATATGTTAAATCAAATCATTAAAAAGTGTTTTGATGACTTTTTCTAACCGCAAATTGTCACTTTTTGATGTTTTAAAATTATTATATATCCTATATGCATTCAAGATGCAAATTAATATTAAAACTCCAAAATCGATTTTTGAGAGAATCAAATTTATCACATCTCATCGTTGTTCCGAATTAATATTTTATTTGTAATGTCCATATTATCACAATTACATTCATCATATTAAAATTCAAAAATAATTTTTGAGTTTCAGATCTCCCTAATTTCCCATATAAATATATGTTTATTTTATTAAAAATAGAATGTCCAATTATTGATAAAAATCGATCCGCTTTTCTACCGGTCAAGCTGTATATATATAGAACCCATCCATGTAACCCTCGATGTCACTTTTGCGGCCTCGCTCCGCTCGGCCGCAAAAGTAACATCGAGGTTTACATGATGGAAAAAGAATAACGATAACTGCTTCTTTTTACTCAATGAATATATGTAATCAAGTAACATAATAAAATCGTAAGGCGAAACTGAAGTAAAGTTAAAAATGAAGTTTCAATTTTATTGATCTCATCTGAAATTTAGGATAAAAATTAAAAAGTGAAAATTGGATAAAGGAATGATATTTGGAGAAATTTAGGATCTCACGGGTGAAGATGGATTAAGATAAAATATTATCGTTTACTTTTTGAAGAGATCGACTTTTGATTATTTGGTGAATCTGCAAATTTAATATGATATTATATTAAACTATATTTTTTAGTCATTAAAAATGATAAATTATTCAAAAGTAAATGAAAGTTTTATGTACTGTCAGATACATTGAAATATGTAAAATCTATTCACAAATAGCGGTTCGAAAAATAGAAGAAAAATCCTTGAAAGAATGATGTAATATTGGAGTGAAACGTTACGGATTTTGTGGAGTTTATATTTTGAGTAATTAAAATACGGTTATCGTCTCAATTGACTGAAACCAATCACAAATTTTGAGTGAAACGATTGATAGCGGCACGAATAAATATCGTTTAAATATGATGATTAATATTATTTTCCAAATAATCAAATAAAGATTTCTTATTTAAGAAATATTGAATTTAAAGATGATGGCCCGACTGATTTTTATATGATCGATTCTGAAATTTATGAGAAATATATTAGTTGATTATGAAAAATATTTAATAGTACAATCATGTTTTATGAAAATTCAATTAAATGAATATGCATAAATATAATTGATTAATGAATATTACCTTTCTTGGCAGAAACCCCATGTAAAAATTTGAATGTTGTATCAAATATTGAATGGAATAGTTTTTATACATTGAAAAAATAATTTATTCAATATGAAAACTCTGATTTTGTGTGCTAAACTAGAATAAAAATAAGCATAAAAAGATTCGCATTTTGAAGGATAGGTTTTTGATTGTTTATACACTATAAGTTTTGATTTTAATTGATATTTATCATAATAAATATCAAAATTGATTAGAAACAATTTTCAAATGAATCGATTATAATCTATATTGGTTTCTTATTGTAAATCTACTACTTATTTTTATTTTATTTCCTTTAAAAATTATTTATAATTGAAATTTCGTAATTAAGCAAGAAATACGATATAATTATGACTAACATAATTTATATTTACGTTTTTTAACAATAGTTTGAATTTTTATATTTTATAATATTTGGGACTAAATGAGATTTCAATTATCTTAATTATTAGATCATCAGGATATCAATCAATAATACTGCATGATTACTGCTTTATTTGTATACACTGTACTATATTTTCCAAAATTCATGTACAATTAGACAATTATATTAGTGATCTTTAAAAGAAGATACGTGATATATATTCTAGCTTAGTAGAAAATAATTTATTTCATCTAATGATCCATCAATGTTTAGTTGCACAGATGATCATTCATAAATTTTGAGAATAAAAAGAAAATAAGTAAGTTTTTTCACTAATAACTAGTGAATCATAAGACAGACAATATTATATTTGAGAGAAGTTTTTGATATACTTACGTAACGGGGAGAGAGTTCGGAAATTTAAGGGTGCACCCGTATGTACGTTTATTTGAGAGGAGGAGGATTACCCTCTCAATTTTGAGGGATTCGTTAGTTTATTTTCTCGATGAATATGCAATAAAATTTGATTTTTACCTTATCAATATACTTCATATAATATACACATGTTCATGTAAAAACTTTTTTCCAAAATCCTCAGGAATTAAGGGATTTTTGAATTTTAAGAATTTTTTTCGAATTTTTTCGAAAAAAAAATATTTTCAGAACAGCCTTAACGGCTAAGATTTAGGAACAATGTTAAGTATCAAAAAGAAAGGAGGTCTGATATAGACAACATATATCGTTGAAGGTTGAAAAAATCTCTAATATTTGAGCCCAAATTTCAAATTTAATTTTTGAAAAAAGAGGCCACCCGTATGTACGTTTATTTGAGAGGAGGAGGATTATATTTTGAAAGGGTGAAAACATTATGAATATGTGAATTATATAATAATATGTATTATTATAAAAAAGAAAAATAAAGCACGTTAAAATTTTTTTTCTTGATTTTTTACAAAATTACTTAGAATTATGCAAAATATGACTAAATAATTATAAATTTCAAGTTAAATTTTAATTTTGATAAATATTTAAATTTCAAAATATCAAGTTCAGTTCGACTATTATGTAGTAATTCCTCAATAAAGTGCCAAAACCCTATTAAAATATATGAACATTTTCAACATTTTAATGTTTTTATTTAAAAATTTGATGGAAGATGAGCTTCAAACAATTATTATGTAAATAAAAATAATTAAATATATGTATCTATTCGTATTACAACCGTAGTAAGTCGATTCTTCCTTTCTTCTACTAAGATTTGAATTTGATTTCGAATTGTAAAGAGATTCAAAGGGAAAATACTAGCGGATAAAAACTACCTCCATGAAAGGGTCATAATGGAGTCAAGTTGTATTTTTTGATATTTTTTGCTTTTCGAGCCTAAATAGGTAGCCAAGATAATGCCTAAAAATAAGGTTCTAAATTCTGAAGTTTACATGATCCTCTCGTGTGCACCCTTAAGAATTGAATGGGGCCGTCAATCGTTGAAATAAAAATTATTTCAATAATTGGAAATGCAAAATACTTATTAGAACATACACATGTGAAGGAATATTTTGTTTTTTATTGTAAATTTGATAGTGTTCAATAATCTAATTTTTAGTAAACACGTTATTATAAAATTTCATTGAATGTCTCAATTCATTCTCCTCAATTCAAAACTATAATGCTCGAAAGAATCATTTATGTACATTTTATGATGAGACACGAGAGTATTAAAGATAAAATTAATTTTCAAAGTTACACAATTATTTGAAGTAGAAATTGAATCGCCGAACGCCTTTTCTATGAAAAGTACAAGACGATTATATTACCTTATAAACTGTTCTTCATTGTATGATAAAAAATACTGTAGTGTGTTTAAGAGTTTTATTTTTTGAGTTATCAGAAATTCAATATCAAATTTGAAAAATATTGAAAAATTTCTGGAGTTCTTTAACTTTACTTCTTGTAAATATGATTTATAATTGTGCATAGATTCATAATAAACCAATCCTGATAGGTGTATTTTTGTCAGTACATTCAAATATTGAGATTTCTTATTGAATCCAAAATTGGAATAAAATTATTTATATTCTGAATGGATATCAATGGAGACCGCAGTTCCATAAGGCATAGATTTTCCCAGGCAGAAGATCTCCTACTAAAAAACCTTGTGGAGGAAGCCAATGGTGTGGTCAATTGGAAAGATATCGCTAGTAAGATGGGAACCCGATCTGCACGACAGTGCAGAGAGAGGTACAAGAACTATCTCAAGCCAACAATTATTAAAAAGAACTGGACAAAAGACGAAGACGCGTTAATTCTCCAAAAATATCAAGAATTAGGAAATAAATGGGAATCAATTGCAAGATTCCTTAAGGGACGCTCAGGAAGCGATACGCGTAATAGATACCTCTCTCTTATCAGAGTCAAAAAAAATAAAAAATCAAGAAATTCGTCATATCAATCAAAGTCCTCGGTAGTGCATCAGCCTCAACAACCAATAATAAAGGCTAATGAACAATTAGCTCCTCAAATTGACTTTGACAAATTATTCTTCGACCGGACGAGTATATTTTGCACCGGAAATATGAATGATCATGATGTATGTTGTTAAATAATTAATTATGTTTTTTCAAATTTTGGTAATTTGAGTAAAAGATAAATTGATATATGAATAATTAAAGCTAATTTGAGATTGCATCTGAAATGAAACCGCAAAGCATGAAGAACGTTGTATGAGCGGTTCAAGCAATAAAATTATGATAGTCAATGAAACAATCAGAAAAATAATAATTTTTTTTTTGTTCAAATTTTATACTCTCCATCTATGAAGGGTATCTGCATTTGAAAATATTTATTAAAATTCTTTCAAAGAAGTAAGCTTACTCCTGCTGTGGTTGTTCAGCTTGCTCACGGCGTGGGCCACGGAAGCCACCGCGTTGTGGGCGGTCACCACGTGGGCCATTGCCGAAGCGGCGTGGGCCACGGCCCTGTGGGCGGTCGCGGCGTGTTTCGAGAACCTTAGCCTCGGCTTCGCGGAGTGTAGCTGGAGCAGCGTTAGCTGGAAGGCCGAAGTAGTTGCGGAGGTACTCGATGCCCTTATCTGTAAGTGTGTAGTAAGCATGGGACCAAGCGTATGTCTTGATGCAGAAGCCCTTTGTTACGAAGGCGCGGCCGATCTGATATGGGTAGATGTTAAGGCAGTCGAGCTCTTCGTGTGTGGCGGACTGGATATCAGAAACGCAGAGAACACCATTCTCGAAAAGATAGCGGAGAATTCTCCTGCGGATGGCTGTTGGCATGTACATCTTGATGAAAGGTCAAGCCAAAACCGCTGAATTTGAATCGAAAACGATTATTTCTTAGTACTCTAAAAAAAGTTGTTTATCAATAGATTCTAGATATGTTCCTTATGTATTGTAACTTTCACTTAATAATTTGGTTCTAATTGCTAGATTGCAATTTTCGAAATTTCAACTTGAGAATATGAGCCATTCAATAATTGGGGTGTAATGCTATGATATATTTAAATGGTTTTGACTATGTCTTGTTTGGGTCAATGGCACAGATTTACTGCAATGTTCAATTTAAACGAAAAATTCTTTATTATTATATATTGCCAGGAATATAGCATTAAAATCTATTTTCATTCATTATTCTATCTTTATGGCTATCAAAAATAATTAAACAAAAAATATCAAGATCGATAAATTGTACAAAAGGCTAATTTTATGTGAAATCAGAAATAGTGACTATGGTTTGATATAATTCAGTACTACGAGTTTTCCAAAAATAATTCGAAAATAAGAATTTAAATTGTAAAATTATTAAAATCAACATTATTTTTGAAATTTTGAAATTTTCTTTGAAGTTTTAAACAAATTTAAATCTGGAAAGTATGTTTCAAATACACAAGAAATCTTAATTTAATACTAAATACATATAAGTATCTTTTGATTTTCAAATTTATATTTATTTTCACCATATTTGATATATTTTAGTAGTTTTTCATGAAAGAACACCTTGAAATTAGTATAAAACGAGTAATGCAGTACTTTAACCCGATCATTTTTCATTCCTCATTGATATTTTGTTATTCAATTACAAATATGATTCGAAAATTCCAATAACTACACAAAATTTCATAGTGTATTTATATATGGGTTTTAAAGACAAAGTAATCAGGTCATTTTTATGGATGTTATCCACGGTCATATTGTGGCATCAACATAAAAAATCAATTCGATTCAATTTACCAATTTCCATCAGGCTACCATTTGAATAATAGCCTCATTTCATACACCCATTACATTATCTGCCTAAATTATGTCACTACATATTTTTTACTAATTTCATAATTAAAACTCGAATAACAATTCCACGATATCAAGTAAGACATAATTTTACTTCATCTCATCTTAACTCTGATGAGATCAGTATATTATCGACATGAAAGGTTTTTTCCGAGTTTACTTTCTAACGCAAGTGCCCAATTGGAAATAAAATCAGATTACCGTTTCTACTTTTTGAGAGAATCTTGATTAATTTCTATTCGATATTTTATGTTAACATTACTGAAAAATATATCAAAAGAACTTATAAAATATTACACGAATTTAAAGATGATAGAGAAAGAAATTTATTATAAAGATAAAAAACAAATTACTGAGCAAGGTGTTCAAGAGCGATTTCTTTTTCGTGGAAGAGATCGTTCATTGTGAAATCGAGCTTCTCGCGGAGCCAATCGTTGACTTTGAATCCATCTACAACATGGATTTTTCCTTCCTTGTCAACGTTGCAAGGGAATGAGAAGACAACGCCTGGTTTGATACCGTATGGGTTATCCTCTGGAACTGGGATACCCATTGAGAGGACTTCTCCTGGAGCTGTGCCGAAAAGCCAAGCTTTCATGTGCTGAATTGCAGCCTTTGTTGGAGAAGCAGCACTTGTGAAACCACGGTGCTCGAGAATATCCCAAGCACGATGTCCGATCTTCTTGAAGAAAGTACCGAAAACGTAATCGTGATCAAGAACATCGACAACTTTCTGAGTCTTTCCATCCTTTGTGAAAGTAGCTTGTGTAAGGTCAGCAACCATTGATTCACCATGATTACCCCAAACGATGATATCATGGACATCATGAACGTGAACTCCTAATTTGGAGGCAACTTCGTAGTAAGCGCGGTTATGATCGAGCATGCTGAGAAATGAGAAGTTTTCTGGCTTGAGGTTCTTTGCATGTAGCATTGCGATTTCGCAGTTTGTGTTATCTGGGTTACCTATAACGAGAACTTTAACTGTTGGTTTAGCCCACTTTGAGAGGTATTCACCAGTGTTCTTGAAGATAACACTGTTTGAGCTGATGAGGTCAGCACGAACTTGACCTGGTTTGAGTGGCATTGATGCAACTAAGAAAGCGCAGTCAATATCCTTGAATGCAGCTTCTGGTTCAGTTGTAGCAACGTAACCTGCGAGGTGTGGGAATGCGCAGTCCTCTAATTCCATTGTAAGAGCTGTAAGTCTGTTCATGGCTGGTGGAATATCGAAGAGATGTAAAACAACTGGACGGTCACCGTATAATTCGCCTCCAGCAATCCAATGTGAAAGGATATAGCCGATTTGTCCTGCAGCGCCGGTGATAAGAACATGAGCTGGATCACTCATTTCGAAAAATGAGTTTAGGAAACGACCTCTCAATTGGTGACCTACCAAGCTATCAATTTTTGAATACCATCTCAATTCATCACAGCGGTAGGCTATTTTGAAAATTTACATTAACAAATCAATTAAATGCACAAATTTTTGGAAATTTTTATCATATATGAGTTATACAACAATTATCCATCCAAGAGGGAAAATTTTTCATTGAAATTCATTGAAATTTTTGAACGACTTGATTTGTTCGAAATTGAAAGGATCGTTTCATGCATCTGTTATAAACCAGCATTTCTAATACTACACTAGGGTGGAATATTGATCGAGTTAAAATTGGGAAATACAAATTTCTCAATATTTTCACATACGCTTTAACTACTTATTCTTAATATGAAAGTAAAACCTAAAAACATCTTCTATCTTTGATTCTACGAGAATTTTTTATCAGATTTTCAAGTTTTCGGGAAAAAATTCATAAAATTATGGATTTCAGCAAAATAGCTTGATTTTCTCAAGTATTTAATATGTTCTATCAACTTTAAATCCTATATTGATTTGGTTTATATCAACATTTCAAATTTGATATCAAATTATCATAAGTGTTCGATCAAAAATGAATGAGGTTGCAAATCACTGAAAACAGAATCCAAATGATATATTAATGATCACATTTGAATCCTTTTAATTAAGAAATCAATCATTTACAATAAAAAATATAAGTCATTTTTAAAATACAAACACATATTTACTAAATAATGTTAGATTTATCTACTATTGTCAGGGCGATATGTTGAATATGATATTCGACCTTTTCCACGTGTTTTATCGAACTGTGCGTATCTTTCTTTTCTCCTTCTTCTGATGAAATCTATAGTACTATTATATCTCTTACCAGATCTCCAGCCAGCACGCTTCCTTCTCTTAACAAATTGACATTGAATTGCCTTTTTAGAAAGTTGGAATCTTCTTGATAAACCACCTTCACCACCACCAAGGCGTCTTGGTATCCAATTAGGAATTGTACGAGCTCTTTCAAAATCGACAAGGAGTGGCTTCTTAATAAAGAATTTATCTTTGTGATTGAGTGCGTTTCTAAATCCTGCCTCAGTTTCGTATTCAACAAAACAGTATGATCGTTGTTCATTTGTTTTTGGATCTCTGACTAAATTTACAGTTTTAACTCGACCAAATGGATTAAATTCGTATACAATTTCTTGCTCAGTGACTTCTTTTGGAAGTCCTGAAACAAAAAGAGTATTGTTTGCATTACCTGTGCATGCTTTGTTTGCTCTTGGATTATATCTTTGTTTCATTTCTGCGATTTTTTGGTTATTTTCTTCATTTTTTTGCTTTCTACGTACCAAATGTTTTTGGTCAATTGGTAAAAGTGGTTCTGATTCAAGAGGAGGCAAATCTTCTCTTTTAATAAAAGGTAAAACACTCGAAATTCCAGTTAATTGCTGAGGTTGTGGTTTCTCAGGTAATTCAAGAAACTTTAACTTAGGTCTTGCTCGAAATAATTGAATAATTTCTTCGGAAAATTTCGGCGGCATTCTCTGATAAAAAATGAACTCATCATAATATCATACATTGATTAAACTGGGCTAATGCATTTAATTTACTATGTTCAAAAAGACAAATTCTTGAAAACAATAAAATATTTTATTGGAGAATCTGGATGGAAAAACTTAAAAAGCAGATATTTAAATTAGAAACGAAGTAGATTGTTTACTTTAATACTATTTTTGTTCTGCTTCTTCAAAATTCCGATTGAATTTCTTCGCCTGTTTCTTCAGCTCTTCATCGTTCACAGCATTTCTGAAGAACTTTGTAATCTTTTTCTCTCGGAATACAGAATGAAGTTTTGAGTGTTTTGCGAGAGTTGCAGCCACAGCAGCGGCCGTCTTCTTCAACTGCTCATCCTTGAGCATTGGCATCATGTTCTCAATAAGTTTAATGTAGTCTTCGTGGTATCCAGCCTCAGATAAAGTATTGATGAAAAGAATTCCGCTCAATTTTACGTTCGGATCATCACTCTTGAGGAAGAGATCGATGTAGGCACGGATGAATCCAGATTTTCCGAGACGCTTAACGAAATCTTCTGTAACTGGTAATCTTCTCGTAAATGTACAGATAATTGAGCAAATGGCGCTGTCTTCTTGATCAATCATGTTAAGGAACAATTTAATGACGTACGTTGGATTTTCCATCAAAGATTTACGAAGTTCCTTATGAGCGAGAACTACAGCGAAAAGACGGACTGTTTCGATGACTGTTGGCAACTGTTCACTAATCCATTTCGGATTTTCTACGAGAATTTCGGCAACTGATGGATTTGTTGCCATTTCCATCAAAATTAAAGTTGCTTTCTTCTCGGTAGCAGCAACGCGTACAAGATTCTGTATAAGAGGTCTGAGTTGCTCAGGAGGATCGTCCTTGGGCTGTGCGCGAAGAAGTAATGGAATAACGGCGGATTTTGTTTCTTGGTTTTTGAGGAATTTGGCGACTTCGGCGGTAGGATATCCTGCCTTTTGAGCAACCTTTGGGTTGATATCGAAGACTGCGCAAAGTCCACAAAGGCAAGTACGAGCAATATCACTTGATGCATCCTTTAAGCAGGAACTGAAGGCTCTCCATGTCTTCTTGGAGTATGCCTGACGGAATGGTTCGTAGTTTTTGTTGAGATAAATCAAAAGAGCAACATAATTTCCAAAAAGATTTTCGTTATTGAATGGTTTTGGATTTTTAACGAGGACTTCGAATATGGGCCATGGGTCTTCGATTCTATCGAATTTCTGCGCAAGAATTGCAAGCAAAACTAACGTTTTTTCCGGTTGTTGTTCAACGAGTTTTGCAAATTGAGGTGCTATATCAGGAGAAAGAGCATCTGGATCACCACGAACCAAAAAGCAAAGCAAATCAAGTAATTGATCAGTGTATGCGTTATTACCAAATGGAAGATCGACAATATACTTTCCAGAAACAAACGGAGTAATATATTGTTTGTCCTGAACAAGTTTGCAGATTGATAAAAGTACTTCATTTCCAAGTTCCTTTGTTAAATTTCCAGCTTTGAATAATTCTAAAACTGTACCATAGAATTGCTTAACAGTTCTTGGAGTAACAACATGAAGGGAGTGTTTTAGCTCCTTTTGGAATCCAGGGTTTGTTGGGTCGCTCAGAACTTCAAGATCAAGTCCTTTTTTCCCTGACATTGAAAATTTTTGTTACGTCGCATAGAAATCACTAAAAGTGTCAAATCCGAGAAAATCATTAAACTTCATAATTTTACTGCTTTATGTATGTAAAAGATATTTTCTAGATTTGTCAAAAAACACAATGAATTCTCGACTCCATCATTTCCTGCATATTGTATATGGTTAACATAGAGTACAAATGTAGTACAAAGCCTATTTTGCAAGTATACGAAGTTCAAATTCATCAACTATTCATTGATTTGCAAATTTTTCAATTCTCCAGTAACAATTTACATTTTTTATCATAGAACTATGGGATAAAGCATCTATCAAGTAGAAAACTAATTGATTTACTTAAAATATAACTCATGAAACCTATTTTTTTGACAATTTTTTTTATTTGAAATGAAAATTCTCAATAAAAGTATCGCAAAGTATATGAATTATTTAAAACTCTATGCAACAACATTTTTTATATTAACCATAGCAGTGCTTTGTGGTGGATATCTCTCTATATCTGAAATGGATCCTCCAAAATTACCAACAAAATTAGATTCATACCAATACGATTGCAGTAATATCAAATTAGCGAGTTCTTCAAGTTACTCATCTCGTATCTCATTTTGGGCTAATACAACCAATTTTGTTCAATTTCCACGCGAAGCTGCAATGAATATGGTATCAGTAACAGCAAGAACAGGAATTGTCGAATCACATTACAATGTTACGACATTTTGGGATACAATAAGCCAAGTTTCTAACTTTTTCTTTAATGTTTTACATCCATTTTCTGGAGAGGCTCATGTAACGTTTAACTGCGGTCAATACTCAATGAATAGAATATCTGTCAATATTGACGAACCTGTTGTTTATTCAATTGGATGGACAAGAGTTTTACGTCAAAATTTATCAACATTGTATGTTGCAAACTCATGCTACGAACATAAACAAATAACTATGTTTCTAACAGGCGAGAATCACTTTTATCCACTTAGGAGTTCTAAAAATACAACATTAAAGTTAATTCCAAACAATTATGGCGCAAAAGCATACGCACAATTCTACAAGATACCATTTTTGGAGTCAGAAGTTCAAAAACCAAAAGTTATTTTCATAGAAAACGATCCGAAATTATCTTACGAAAAAATTTACGATTTACTGATCCCATTGACATATTTTACGGTTACAAATAGAGATACTGAACAGAAAATAGTATTTTCTAAAAACCAAACGCATTTACAAAGCCTTGTTTCTAAAATATTCAATGGAAGTATTCATGATTACAATAAAAGCATCTGTTACGATTACGGTGTAGTTCTTGGTAATTCAGAAGGCATAAGATATGATCTAAATCAAACTTTACACCATGAATATCCGTATTTAAACCAAGTAAGGCATTTCCAAGAGTTATTTTCCATTGACCCGATATACATCGATTTCATACGTGATACATATACTAAAAACCATATGAAAACCGGCAGAATTGCTGTTGTTGACGATGTAAAGTCTATAATTCCAGTTTTACAGCAATTATATCCAAATTCTGATATAGATATGATCCATGATGACATGGATATTGAAAACATTGCTGAAACAGTATCAAAATGCCAGATTTTAATTGGATCTAATTTATTTAATTTGGCTTACAGTGTTTTTCTGAATCCATATGCATCGATAGTAGAATTACAACCTTTGGGTCTTTCGGGACAACAATTTGCTGAAAATTGGGCAAATTTGACAAAAACTAAATATTATGCTATCAAAAATCACGAAAATCAAGAACCAATAAACAGTTTAATGGAATACTTCGGTAAACTTCCCCATTCTAAGTTACCAGAATTAAATTCTCAATCAATAAAAGAAGTTATTGATTTCATTTTGCAGCATGAATGAGTACCATGCTTTTAATATTATGTTATGTTTAATAAACTTTTTTTTGTTTAAACTTTATTCAATATTTTTTTTTTTAATTGGATTAGTTATGATACTAAGATCAAATAAATACGAATATTAAGGGATAACTGCCTATTGTCACAGAAATGAATCTTCAGAATGAAATTTTGATCTCTTCTTGAAAATTTTATCTTCTTGGTTATGATACTAAGATCAAACAAACAGGATTCTTAAGGGATTACTGTCTATTTTTGCAAAAATCAAGCTTCAGAATTATAGCATTTTCGCTTCAAATAATTCTTCAGATTGAAATTTTGATGTCTTATGCCGAATTGCGCTCATTCTGAAGATTTTAAGAGAGTTTCTGAAATGGCTGTTTTGGTAACTTTCTCTAGGTCGCAAGTTTTCATCTAGGCAAATTTTCAAAATCACAAAAATGTTCTCAAAAATGACTCAACTTATCTTTCCAACAAATAAACCACCAGAGGAGGAGGGGGAGAAGGAAATACGTATAACCAAGACAATGTATGAAGATCTTCTCAAAAGAATATCGGATTAAGAAAGTACAGTTTCACAATTACAATCACAAATTGAAAGTCTTGAGAAAGAGCGGAAATTACCAGAAGAAACTAAACCAGAGAATAGTACACCAAGCACACCGGCAATTATTCCTCAACCAAAACCGAAAAGCGTTTGTTTGTTTACTGGCATTAGGGTTAGTCCAGAAGCTGCCGCAGAACTTGAAAAATTCCGTGATAAAATAAAAGCCAACAAGCAATTTTCACACTGGACTCACGTCAAAGATTTTCATGTAACATTACAATTCTACGGAAACGTCGAAGAATCTAAAATTCCAGAATTAGAAGAAGTTCTCTCCAAAGTTGCAGAAAACAACTCTCCTTTTGATCTTTTTACATCAATTCCACAAACATTTGGAGGAAAAACGAGACCGCATGTTCTTTTCATCGCTCCTGATGGAGACTGTCAAGCATTGCAGAAGCTTGGCAAAGAGATACAAACATCTTGTTCCGAAAAATTTGGATTTAAGAAAGATCAAGTTTATAATCCTCATATTACAATCGGGAAAAACTACAAATCTAGAGCACCTTTTATAGAACCAGTAGAAGCAGATTTCCCACAAAAAATATCATTCAAAGTCACACAATTCGATTTATTGTTATCAGATCCTTCAGCTGAACCAAGATATCATACTGTTAAGACTTTTGAATTATCTGGAAACGAAAATCTCATTGAACAGCCGAAAGAAGAAGTTTCTAATGAAGAATCTCCTAAAAATTAACCATATAACTTAAATTATGAATCAAAGAAAGAAAATTATGTTCCTAAACAGGATAATAAAACATGGAGGCGATGATTTACCACTGTTAGACAATAAAAAATTCATTTTATGTTATTTCGTTTAATAATTCTTTTTAGATCCTTTTTTTATACCATTCTTTTTGGAAAACTCGTTATTTTAAAGTTACAATGCACAATTAAGAGTATTACCTTTATTTAAATTTTGAAAAAGGATTTCCGAAAGATATTTAAGTGCAAATGAAATTAAAATTGTTCACATTTGATATATTTCTCTCATTTGAAGTATTGGATTCCATTTAATCATAGTAAAATGCATTATTAGGTGAAATTTATTAAATCCTATTTTTTGTGTTCTTATTTTCTTATGGTTTGATAGAATGGCGCCTAACGAAAAATGTTAGCACAATCCTTATCAATAAGACCTGAATTTTATTTATACTGGTTCGTAAAACATAATCTCATTAAAAATACTTAAATTAAGCTACTTTGATGCCAGACAAATACTTTTAACATCTTAGGACTTCCCAACGATGAGGCTAGGATTAGATTATATTATAATTCATGTCATATTTATCTAATTACATAATGTTTGCAGGAAATTGATCAATATGCATTTCCTTGCCCTTGAAAAATCATATCAGAAGAACTACTGTGTACCATATCACATCTATTAATGATATTGAGTTCTATTTAAACCTTTAACTTTCATTGAAGTAGGTAATTGATATACTCTCATTACAAGAGAATGCTATTTTGATGAAATATTGAAAGAGAGCTATAAATACTTAAGTCGAATTTAATCAAAATCTCCAAATGAGCAAAAATCCAAAGATTTTACGGGTAGAGAACCATGTAATAATATCTTTCTAATTAAAATCAAGACTAATTCTTGTACAACCACTATAAGCTCACACTCTTTATCGATAGGGGAAAAATTCTGGGATATTTTGAGGAAAATTTCAGATAAAAATTTTATCATTGAAAAATCCTGACCACTTCTCTCAAATTGAAATCCAAAAATTCGATTTTGTTAAGAACACAATCATAGTATAAATTTCAAAATTGGGATAAAAATGTAACAAAAAAGTGACACTAATAAAAAAATGAAGATTAAGCTTGTATTTGTTGGTCCTAGTAATGCTGGCAAGACTTCCATTATAAACAGATTTGTCTATAATGAATTTTCAGTTCATATCCTTCCAAGTACACAGCCAGCTTTTTGCCAGAAAGTCATAAAAGTTAATAATCAAAATATTCAACTTGAAATTTGGGATACTGCTGGCCAAGAAAGGTACCATTCACTTTCTCCACTTTTCTATCGAGATGCTGATATCGGAATTGTGACATTTGATCTCACTTCCACAGATTCTTTTGAAACTGCAAGACAATGGATCGACGAACTTCATCAAAATCGTGGCGATGGAATCATAATTGGGTTAGCAGGAAATAAAAGAGATTTAGCAGATCAAAGACAAATTAGTTTTGCTCAGATGCATAAATTTGCCCAAGATACAAATGTAGTTGCTGTAGAAACAAGCGCTCAAAGCGGAGAGAACATCAACTATATGTTCGATGTTTTACTCAAACAATTTATAGATAGTGGTAATACACCAAGCAAAGGCAATGATACCCCAGTTCCAGATGAAAAATCAGGCTGCTTTTGTTAGATGCTGTTGAAAAATTTCTTTATATCTTTTACCTATAGAATATATTTTTGTTACATATCTTAAACAATTTTACCTATTAACCTGAATCATCATTATTTAATTACATTTTTATTTACAAACTTAAATCTTGAAAAGAATTTACAAGATTTTATTTATTTTGAAAAAGTTAGATATTTTTTTGTTGAATATTTTATAAAACGGCTCAAAAAGAACCAAATCTTTATGCAAGGTTGACTGTACCACGGCGGCGACCTGTACGGCGGGAAGCGATAAGACCAAGCTTCTGACCTGGGCGGGCAGAGCGAGCGACTGTGCCTGGAGCACCCATGTGCTGGTGGGAACCACCACCGTGTCTGTGGTCGACTGGGTTCATCTTGATACCGCAAACGACTGGCCATGTGTGGCGTTTAGCTTTATACTTGTAGTGGACGTTACCGGCCTTAAGGAGTGGCTTTTCTGGACGGCCACCACCAGCGACGATACCTAATGTAGCACGGCAGATGTTGGAAACAAGAGCCTTGCGACCAGATGGGAGCTGGATACGTGTGTAGTTTTCTGTGTGGCCAATAACACGGCAGGAATCGCCGGAGCAGCGGCCATAGCGGCCACCATCACCTGGGCGGTGCTCGACATTGCAGATTTCTGTACCTTCTGGGATCTGAGCAAGTGGGAGAATGTTGCCGATGTGGAGATCAGCTTGGGCACCGCACTTGATGAATTGGCCTGTATGGATACCTTCTGGGGCAATGACGAGAGCAGAATCGAAGCCCTGGCCTTCAGCCTTCTTGTAAATAAGCTTGGCAAGTGGAGCACCACGGCCTGGGTCGTGGATGATCTCCTTGACCATGCCGGAGATAACAGATGTACGCTCGGCAGCATCAAGAGCACGGAATTTAGCTGGACCAACGCGGTGGTGGGTGTGGGCCTGGAAAACAGAGCCGTTACCTCTACGCTGAGCACGAACAATGTGACCCATGTGTAAAAGGAAGAGACATGACGATAGAACGCACTTTTTCTTCACCAAATATTTGACAAGTAAACTGTCAAAAATAAATCGAATGATTGAAATTGACCCAGATGAGGTCGAAGCGCTCAATAGATGGAATTGCGCAATGCTTAATAAACGCAGAAATAGAAAATTAAAATGTCGTACTTTTAATTATTGGAAACAACTTGCTTTCGAAGCAATTAATTCGAAAACTCAAGATGAAGAAATATCAATTTTTAATAGAAATACATCATTCAAAAGCATATCATCAGGACAGTCCCAGAATCAGACTCTTTCAAGAACAAACCGTACAACAGATGCTCTAAAATCAGAACTTGACTCCCTTTTAAGAGAACAATCAGAGCTCGAAAACTCTACTGAGCAAATAAAGGCAACATTACGCAATTTACCTCGTGCTAGTACAACATTTCGAAATTCAACGTATACAACAAGTTTCACAACAACAACTCAGTCCAGAAGATATGGCAATTTCTAACTATACTTTGTTTTGTTTTATAAAATATTTTCTTATATCACTATTTGTTTTATAATATTTTTCAATTTGAATTGACATTTATCATTCTATTGTATGTACCCAACTCATATAGATATCACACGAACTATTCGAGTTAGAAAAATTAATAAGAAAATTCATAAATAATTTTACTTTTTGATAAAATATCAATTTTACTGTCCAATCTCACCTTATGATGAATAAAATGAACAACTATGGCATGACGTATATGGTAAAGTATCGTTATATCGAACAGCCAAAAAGAGAAGAATTGAATTCATAATTTTATTAATCAAAGAAAGCTATATATACATTGAAATGATAAAACGATAGTTTTGTTCATTATCGGACGAGTGAACATACAAATGACCTTTCATGCCATTCATGATGCAGTATGTAGTACATATTTGAAATATACTATGAAAATATCAAGGGTAGCAAGACATAGGCAAGTTATTACTTGTTATCATGAAATCGAAGTAATTTTAAAAACAAAAGATATATCTTGTTATATACTAATGTTATGATTAAAAAACAGTAAAGAGGAATACAATAACGTTATGCACAAGCTAGCATCATATCAATTTCATGAAATGTTTGAACATTTGATGAAAAATCACTGCGCGATTTCCTTTTTCATTATTCTTCATTATTGTATTTCAATTATTTTTCTGTTTTCCATATTAAAATACGATTTTGATATCACGAATAGCTCTTCCGTAATTGAGGCAATTTGTAAAGTTCTATCGTCCGGAGGTTTGGGTTGGCCTTTTGGAATGTCTAAGGTCAGTGTTCACATTCGCAAGTACATCGTCAACAAGCTCCTCGACCGCAAGCAGTTCGTCATTGATATGCAGCACCTCGGCGCTAAGGCCCCAACACGCGACGAAATTAAGGATGAAGTTGCCTCCCGCCTTAAGGCCAACAAAGATCTTGTTGTCATTTTCGGCCTCGAGACAAAGTTTGGTGGTGGCCATACAACTGGCTTTGGATTTGTTTACGATAGCCTTGATGCCCTCAAGAAGACCGAGCCAAAGCACCGCTTAATCAAGGCCGGCCTTGCTGAAAAGGGCAAAATTACACGTCGTATGCGTAAGAACGCCCGCCGCCAAAAAGTTAAGGTATGGGGCTCAGGCAAGCGTGCAGAAGCTCACAAGATCCGCCGCCAGCAGCGCAAGGAAGAACTTGGCTCACACTAAGCTTGATAAATATAGATTACAATGTCAATACGCTCATCAGTGCTTGAGTAAAAAACCATATTTAAAAAATCAATCTCTACTACCTTTTAATGATTTTAACTAGTTTCTTCCTTTGATGTCCTGTTATTTTTCCTCCTTCTTGATATTACTTGAAATATATTTCTAAAACCTTAATTGTTTTTAATTTTCCAAAATTCTTTATTACCAATCAAGTATCAAAACTATGTTGAGTTAGAATCAGTTATTTTGAGCTGTGGTTACAAGAATTTGATAAAGATTTTCGTTCAATATGACATTCAAGAAGGTTGTTATCACTTAAATGAATGTATATAGAGATAATTAAATGAAACCAAAACAAAATATTGAAGAATTTGAAAGAAATGTATTGAATATCAGGGCATTTAAAAAGAAAACTACTGAGACAAAAATGATAAGAGTGTATGAAATAAAAAAACAAGTCAAAATCATTAAAAGGTAGTAGAGATTGATTTTTTAAATATGGTTTTTTACTCAAGCACTGATGAGCGTATTGACATTGTAATCTATATTTATCAAGCTTAGTGTGAGCCAAGTTCTTCCTTGCGCTGCTGGCGGCGGATCTTGTGAGCTTCTGCACGCTTGCCTGAGCCCCATACCTTAACTTTTTGGCGGCGGGCGTTCTTACGCATACGACGTGTAATTTTGCCCTTTTCAGCAAGGCCGGCCTTGATTAAGCGGTGCTTTGGCTCGGTCTTCTTGAGGGCATCAAGGCTATCGTAAACAAATCCAAAGCCAGTTGTATGGCCACCACCAAACTTTGTCTCGAGGCCGAAAATGACAACAAGATCTTTGTTGGCCTTAAGGCGGGAGGCAACTTCATCCTTAATTTCGTCGCGTGTTGGGGCCTTAGCGCCGAGGTGCTGCATATCAATGACGAACTGCTTGCGGTCGAGGAGCTTGTTGACGATGTACTTGCGAATGTGAACACTGACCTTAGACATTCCAAAAGGCCAACCCAAACCTCCGGACGATAGAACTTTACAAATTGCCTCAATTACGGAAGAGCTATTCGTGATATCAAAATCGTATTTTAATATGGAAAACAGAAAACTCAATGAGATGTAATAATGAACAAAACTATGAGAAGCGAAAAATAATGAAAATGTTTAAAAATTTTTGAAGAATTCAATAGCTTTTGTTGAATTGATAAACATGTAAGTACAAGCAAAGCAGGAAAAACACATATCTTGAAAAATAATAGCACTGATCATGTTTAGATCGTAAAATTTGAGTGTGTAACAAACAACACTTCGTTCAGAATTAAATTAGATATTAGATCTGATATAGGGATTTGTATCATAGAATACGTGGTGTTGAACATGTTATTGCATTATTGGCAATCAAACGAGGTGAAAATGGGATAAGAGGAAAGAAAGAGAATATAAATTGTAGTAAAATAATATGTATAATGGAAGTGGAGATGAAGAATAAAAGATGAAAGATTAAAATGAAATAAAAACGAAGAGATAAAAATGAAATTTAATAAAAAATAATGATTAAACAATGAAATACTTGAATTGAATTATTAAAAATTAATTTGTCTTTTATTTTTATCTTTTTGTTAAAGAAAATAGTATTCAAATAAAAATAATAATGTGAAATCTAAAAAAAATTGTGTTGTTCCTCTAAAAAAAAGTGTTATATTGTTATGATTAACAAGATACAAGATTAGAAAATCTTACATCTTGGTCTTCTCTTCAACCCAGTGGTTCAACTTTTCTTGATCGCTGCAAAGTGACTTGGCTTGTTCTTCGGAGATGGAGGAAAGGATAGCCTTAAGCTTGCTGCCGCTGATGTTGCGCTCGGTAAGTTCGTTCTTGAGAAGGTCCTTGGATGTGGCTGGAGCTGAGACTGGAACTTGTGGCATCATCATGGATTGCATCATGATCTGCTGTGTTGGAATGACAGGTCCACCAATGGTGTTTGGAATCATGGCGCCCTTAGGCTGCTGCTTCCTCTGGTTGCTGGCTTTCTCACGCTCGCGCTCTTCTTTCATCTTGAAGAGACCAATGTATGGGGTCTTGCCATTGAGTGGGGTGATGACGGCGTTCTCGAGAGCATTCTGAGCACTTTCCTTTGTCTTGAAAAGAACAAAGCCGAAGCCCTTAGATTCGTGTGGCTCCTGAGCTTCGCGTCTGATGCTGCACTTCTCGACTTCACCGAACTGCTCGAAGTATTCTTTGAATTGTTCGTCGGTGACACTCTGGTCGAAGTTCTTGACGTAAAGGTTACGACCACGTGTCTCTTCGTTAAGGCGGCGGCGGAACTCGGCGGACTGCTTGGCTAAGAAGGCTTGGCGCTCGGCTTTAGTCTGGGCACGGCAGCAGGAAAATGTGACTTTGCCGGATTCGTGCTGCTTGCCGTTGAGGGCGTCGACGGCCTTGACGGCGTCTTCGTGGTGCTTGAAGTTGCAGAAACCAAATTCACAGCTGCTGCCATCTTCCTTGCGCTTAATGGCTGGGTTGGCCTTGCCGGTGACAACAAAGTCACCGAACTCCTTAAAAAAATTAGCAAGGTCATCGTCTGTCTTGAAGATGTCGGCTGGAAGTGGCTTGATGAAGACGTTTGTGAATGTCTCTTCTGGGTTCTTCCTGGTTGGCTTCTGGTAGAACTCGATCTGAATTGGCTTGCCGTTGATGGAAGCATCAGCAAGATCGGTCTTAGCACGCTTGGCATCGTCTTCCTTGTAGAATGTGATGAAGCCGTAGCCACGAGACTTGCCGTTTGTTAACGGGATCTTGCAGGAAACGATTTCACCGAAGTTGGAGAAGGCATCGTGAAGCTGTGAAACTTCAATGTTCTCATCAAGACCACGGATGAAAAGAGCACCAACGTTGTTCTTGATGGCTCTCTTTGTGCCTGGATCGGACCAAAGAATACGGATTGGAACACCATCGAGCTTGGTGTAGTTGACTTCGGAAATAGCACGCTTGGCTAATTCGTGGGATTCGAATGTGACAAAAGCAAAGGACTTGTCAAGAGATTTATGCTTCTTGACTGTGACTGTGCCTGATGGGAAGCTGCCGTAATCCTTGAAAATCTCTTTGATGAAATTCTCATCAACTGAGCCGGGGAGATCACCAACGAATACTTCTTTCCAGTTTGGATCCATATGTCAAAATGTTGGACTACTTCCAAACCGTTTTTCTCACGATCTCACGTTTTTCAAAATTTTATTGATATTTTTATATAAAATCATACAAAGATTAGAAATGCTTGTTTTCGAAAATTGTGGATTGGCACTTTTGGTTCTATTCGACCATCAACCATATGAATCTCCTTTATTTATCGTTAATTTTTGATTCATCCATATTCTATAAATAGCACATTCCGAAAATAATTTATTTATGATTCCATTCACTATCTCTTCTCTTATTTCATACGGAGAAATTCCATAAATATAGTAATTTTCCTTCATTTTCAATAAAATATATTTGTATGTATAATATATTATTAAGTGCAAATATTTTAACTGTTAAAAATTGACCATCAAATGAACAAATTCAGAAAAAGTATAAAACTCATTAGTAAAGGATGAATTAGTTTTTCCAATAGGTTAAATTAGGAAATAACACATAATTATAGAATTGGGATTCATGAAAAATGTAAACGTAGCGATGGTCGAATAGAACCAAAAGTGCCAATCCACAATTTTCGAAAACAAGCATTTCTAATCTTTGTATGATTTTATATAAAAATATCAATAAAATTTTGAAAAACGTGAGATCGTGAGAAAAACGGTTTGGAAGTAGTCCAACATTTTGACATATGGATCCAAACTGGAAAGAAGTATTCGTTGGTGATCTCCCCGGCTCAGTTGATGAGAATTTCATCAAAGAGATTTTCAAGGATTACGGCAGCTTCCCATCAGGCACAGTCACAGTCAAGAAGCATAAATCTCTTGACAAGTCCTTTGCTTTTGTCACATTCGAATCCCACGAATTAGCCAAGCGTGCTATTTCCGAAGTCAACTACACCAAGCTCGATGGTGTTCCAATCCGTATTCTTTGGTCCGATCCAGGCACAAAGAGAGCCATCAAGAACAACGTTGGTGCTCTTTTCATCCGTGGTCTTGATGAGAACATTGAAGTTTCACAGCTTCACGATGCCTTCTCCAACTTCGGTGAAATCGTTTCCTGCAAGATCCCGTTAACAAACGGCAAGTCTCGTGGCTACGGCTTCATCACATTCTACAAGGAAGACGATGCCAAGCGTGCTAAGACCGATCTTGCTGATGCTTCCATCAACGGCAAGCCAATTCAGATCGAGTTCTACCAGAAGCCAACCAGGAAGAACCCAGAAGAGACATTCACAAACGTCTTCATCAAGCCACTTCCAGCCGACATCTTCAAGACAGACGATGACCTTGCTAATTTTTTAAGGAGTTCGTGACTTTGTTGTCACCGGCAAGGCCAACCCAGCCATTAAGCGCAAGGAAGATGGCAGCAGCTGTGAATTTGGTTTCTGCAACTTCAAGCACCACGAAGACGCCGTCAAGGCCGTCGACGCCCTCAACGGCAAGCAGCACGAATCCGGCAAAGTCACATTTTCCTGCTGCCGTGCCCAGACTAAAGCCGAGCGCCAAGCCTTCTTAGCCAAGCAGTCCGCCGAGTTCCGCCGCCGCCTTAACGAAGAGACACGTGGTCGTAACCTTTACGTCAAGAACTTCGACCAGAGTGTCACCGACGAACAATTCAAAGAATACTTCGAGCAGTTCGGTGAAGTCGAGAAGTGCAGCATCAGACGCGAAGCTCAGGAGCCACACGAATCTAAGGGCTTCGGCTTTGTTCTTTTCAAGACAAAGGAAAGTGCTCAGAATGCTCTCGAGAACGCCGTCATCACCCCACTCAATGGCAAGACCCCATACATTGGTCTCTTCAAGATGAAAGAAGAGCGCGAGCGTGAGAAAGCCAGCAACCAGAGGAAGCAGCAGCCTAAGGCGCCATGATTCCAAACACCATTGGTGACTGTCATTCCAACACAGCAATCATGATGCAATCCATGATGATGCCACAAGTTCCAGTCTCAGCTCCAGCCACATCCAAGGACCTTCTCAAGAACGAACTTACCGAGCGCAACATCAGCGGCAGCAAGCTTAAGGCTATCCTTTCCTCCATCTCGAAGAACAAGCCAAGTCACTTTGCAGCGATCAAGAAAAGTTGAACCACTGGGTTGAAGAGAAGACCAAGATGTAAGATTTTCTAATCTTGTATCTTGTTAATCATAACAATATAACACTTTTTTTTAGAGGAACAACACAATTTTTTTTAGATTTCACATTATTATTTTTATTTGAATACTATTTTCTTTAACAAAAAAATAAAAATAAAAGACAAATTAATTTTTAATAATTCAATTCAAGTATTTCATTGTTTAATCATTATTTTTTTTTAATTTCATTTTTATCTCTTCGTTTTTATTTCATTTTAATCTTTCATCTTTTATTCTTCATCTCCACTTCCATTATACATATTATTTTACTACAATTTATATTCTCTTTCTTTCCTCTTATCCCATTTTCACCGCTCTCTTTGAAAAATCCAAACCAATAGTTCATTCAGTACTTACTTTCAGAAAATGGTGAACCCAATAAGTTACCTCTTCTGATATCAAACTATATCCCAAATTAATACTTCAATTGATTAAGTATTCAAATAGGAGCAATTTACCTTTGAGAATCACTAATTGTATTGCAGATAATTCAAAATGGCCAAATTGACTCTATCTCAAGAGAGTTTGATAAAGCAATAAAAGTTTATTCAATACACTTTCATCTGTATTGCTGACCAAATACGAGATTCGACTGAGTTACCAATTTATCAAACAATTAAATATCAGAATTATCGAATTACCCCTGTTCTATCTTATTTATTGTAAATGATATTTTGATGAAAAATATTAAAAAATTCGCTTCAAATTGTTGTAAACAGAAATTCATCAAAAGTGACACCTCAGAAAAGCTAAAATATTGAATTTTTGGAACTTTTGATAGAGCACGTTTTTAAATATTAATTAAAGTAAATGTATATTTTGTAAAGATTCTTTTTAATAAAAAATAAAATTTTGAAGAAGAACACAAAATCTTCTGAAAAATAATATCACATAAACTCATATTATTTTCTAATATATAACTATTTTATATAAAAATCAAATTCAATGATCTTAAAAGCGAATGATAAACCTCAAAATTTACGAATATAATGAGTGGGAATATAATGCTTATCTATCATAAAACCATATGAAATATCAATTTTTGCTTTACGCCTAATTTTTGACGACAATTAGCAAAAAATGTTAAATGTTAACACTCAGTCCATTTGAATATGAAAAATAAAATTGACTTTGATTAAATGTTTTTATTTATCATGCAATTCTTCTTGCGACCAAAGATTTGAATAAAATTTCAAAAAATAAGATAGCTTAAAAAATAATATACGGTAGTGTTTACTAATAGATGAATAGTATATAAATTCTATTAAAATGGATTTGATCCAAAAAAATATATAAAATTTGATCATAAATAAAATTGTTTAGTAGTCATTTAAAATGATGTAATTATTCAAATTTTGCTAAGACCCATTCGTCTTTGATATATAACTCCCATTTTTGCATTTCTGGCTCGTACCAAAATTTTGAAACTTCGAATAATTCGTTAGGAGTGTAATTACTATTCGTTTTTGGATTAATATCGAGAGATAAATGTGGTGTATTGTTGTATTTTTCAATGAACTGCTGAACTGAGTCCTTGATTTGTTGAATATCATCCAACTCGTCTGGCAAAAACTTTTCTAAGCTTGGCCACAGGCGCTCCACCTTGCCGTTCTGTCTTGGCATATACGGCAAGGTGTGCTTCCAAACTATTCCGTTTTCCTGCATAACCTGGCCGAATTCACCGCGGTTTTCACCGCCGTTATCGGTCCAGATGCAGTAAGGAATAAACTCCTCTAAAAGTTTTCTTAAAACCTTCGCTGTTGAGTTGGAAGACTTGTTTTTCAATAATTTAGTTTTGAGAACTTTACGTGTCATATCATCCAATATGGCAAAAAATGGAAAAGAAACATTACCGTGAAGGTAATGAATATCGCAGTGCCATATCAAATTCTTTGATATGGCACGATATTTGGTAGGTGGATCTGCTGGTTTGTAATCTCTTTTTGAAGATAAACCTGATTCCATCATAAATTTTTCCACTTGATGATGCTTTATTTTTTGTAAATTGTCAAAAATTTGATCTTTTGTCAAATCTTCTATATTTTCAAATTCTTTTGCAATTTCTTCTTTTTCTTTCTCACAATCGGGATTTTGAGCAATATTTTGAAACCTTTTAATCAATAAATAAGTTTTTGAAATTCCTCCTTTATATTGTGAAACACAAGAATTAATTAATTGTTTTTGCTCAAATGTTGGTGGATTTGGTTTTCTGCCGCGACTAACTTCTGGTAATTCGATTTCTGGAAGTTGAAATGCTCTTCTTATTGTATTTTCGGCAACATTCAATTTAATTTTACCATTTTCCAATTCAACTTCCTTTCCCACACTTTTGTAAGATTCACCTTCTTCTATTCTTCTTTTAGCTTCAAATAGCCATTCTCTGCTTATAGATTTGGCATTAGTCATAAAAGAGTTAGTATACCTAAGTCGTGTACTGAGGCACTGCGTTCCACCTTACCCATTATATGTGAATTTGACACTTTACAAAACCGTTAACGTATATTTTACAACACAAACACAAACACAAACTTAACCTTAAATATTTATAAAGCCGCCAACCACTTCACCTCACTACTGTAAAAAATAAACGTTCTCACTTACAAAAGTATTGCAACTCTTCCCATTGCTGTGCTTCACACAATAGTTCATATTCTTCAGTATCGCTGCTGTCGCTCCAATCGTCAGAGTCAAAGTCACTGTCAAAATAAATGTTAGTAAGTTTTGACAAAGCTAATGAAACACGTTTACCGTTTGTATCGTATGCTTGTATAAACTTTCCATTCTTCATTCCTTCATAAACGCTCAAACTAACTTTACCCTTTCTCCCTCGTATCTGATAGAATGTATTTTCACGAGGAACGAAGAACAAATTCTTGAACTCATGACCGTTGTAGTTTGTTA